TTACGTTTAGAAATCAGAGCTAAAGTTCTTATCACGAAATGACACCGGTTGTAATGCTAAAACCCTACTTAGTTATATAGATGAATTTATTTCGTGTCAAAAATCGAAGATTCGTTATTTTAAGTTTTATCGGTCCCTTCATATTTTCGTCTAATAATTGACTATGCAATCGCTGATCCCCTATCGAACTGTATCTTCTTCCATGAACCAACAGAGAAAAAAATGAAGAATGGTTATATATATATATATATATATATATATATATATATATATATATTACCTATTTTCTGCTGAAGTTAAGATTGAATAAATTAAAATCAAAAGGGATATAAGAGTGGTGATGGAGAGGTAGTAATATGTCTTTGACTTGATTCATTTATTCGTTCGCATATTAAAAGGGGTTACAATAATAGTAATAATAATAGTTTACTACAAAATTGGAACTCGAATAACTGAATCATTATGCTTAAAGTTGTATTTAAGAATCATTTGTCTCTAACAGCTTAGAGAATGATTTATGTTGTAAAATGATGACCAATTTTTATCAATAGAAAACTGTTTGTTTTATTTATAAAGTGTAACTTCCACAGTTTAGCTACTACTACTACTACTACTACTTGTACATATATCTATTAGTTAATTTATTTCTACGGAGCAATATATGTAGGCTGTTTGCAGAGGTCAATTTTAATATAGATAATATAATACATTTCAGTAACATTCAAGAAAGAAGTAGGAGGAAGATGGTTAGCAGTTATATCTGTTCTTAAACAATTTATTTGTTTCAGTGATCTTTAAGTTGATTTTCATATAAATCAACTAGGGTATCGCCATATTCAATTACTTTTTATTTTTAAACACAGGAAGCTTTTATTATCTATGAAAATAAAGCCTAAATATTGTATATGAAAGGAGTATATTTTATTATTTTCTTCATTGTGGTCTTAAACTGTTATCATTTTAATTACCATCACTTTATTTCTATTTAATTGATTTTACATTTGAAAATGTTACTCTTTCTCATCTTTTCAGTTATTTCGTATATTCTTAAGGTTTTTAAATATCAGTGTTTCGAATATAATAACATTTGATTTATTTTCTCTTATTTTCTTTAATTTTCGTGGAGATTGTTAAGTTTTTGATTGAGATCATGAATCGATCGATGTCAGATCATAGTTCAAAGTCTAGAAGAACTGGAAGACCGTTTCGTTCTAGTATTGACTCCTCAGTAGTGCACATCTACCATCCGAAATGCAGCACTCGAATCCACGACGTTCGGTCTCGCGCGTGAACGCTTAATCCCTAGACCACTGAGCCAGCTTGCATTCAACGGTGTTATTGTCTAATTTCAACCAATCCATGAAATTGCTCTACTACTTCTTATTATCTGAGGTAGATAATTGCTTTTATCTGATACGAATAAGCTCCAACGGAAGAAACTGCCATTCAGTGTTTCTAGGTTTTCAATGATGGTTTAACAAAGATTATCTTATCGTATTCATAGTGTGACATAATGTCAGCTTACAAATTTTATATTCCTTCTTTATTTACACATAACATATAGAAGTTACACAATTTTTTATTGTTATTATCTACACTATATAACCTATTATTATTATTATTATTATTATTATTATTATTCTATTATTATTATTATTATTATTATTATTATTATTATTATTATTATTATTATTATTATTATTATTATTGTCCTGCTATGACATTAACATGTTTACTAGTTGTCAATATTTTATCACGCAACCGAATCTCAATGAATATGTATGATTTTACAGTTTGATAATAAGTTTACTGCAAAGCAATTCTTTCACTGAATTCATTATTTTAAAAATGAAGTTATCAGATATAATTGTTTTATATTTATTCTAATTACTACTAACATTTTATTAAGTAGTAAACAGTTAGTATATGAACATTATCACTATGATCGTTATCACATGACAATCTACTCTAGAAAACGACGAATTTTTGTTTTTAATCAATATATAGATAGTATACTTTTAATTTTTAAAGTAATATGTCATATGACGCCGACGACGATGATGATGATGTTGAAGATGAACTGAACTTTTATGGAAATCAATTGTTTTTAATGTAATGCATTATTTAAGCGATATTGGTCATATTTAAGTTAACATCATACTAATAACATACATAAAGCGATAGTATCAACTAAGAGTAAGTAAGTTCTAAACATATATTACGTTTTAAATAATAAATAATATGAAATAGGAAAATAAAAGGAATTATGATCCCTTCAATCTTAATGAAAGTAATATCATTCATTTCTGTCATTGAGATGATAGAGAAGATTTATAGATCAAGTGGATGATATTGATGAAATTTTGTTCTTAAAGCTAGATGGTTTGGTTTTGGAGCATTTATCATTCTTCTGAACGACATTATCAGCATACATTTCATAGAAACTCCACGATCAAACGATCCAGATCAGAGAACGAAACTCCATCAAAATTTCTATCATTATATTGCTTTTGAGAGATTATTTTAGCACAATAAGTTGATAATATTGTTAAATTTTGTAGCTATACATAGCCATACATAGCTGTACATAGTAAAAAATGTGAATTGAATAACTTTTCATCAATAAACTAGTATGCATATCGTATATCCTGGGATCACCGAGTATGTAATGAAGTTGTTAGGAAACGGGTCCTACGTAGGGATGGCAAATCAATTGATGAAGTAGTGAAACTTCATCAGTTGAGATGGCTGGGAAACGTGTTACACGTATGTATAACCACCGACTGCCCCGACGAGCGATGTTTTATGGTGTAGGAGTAGGTTGGAAGAAAGCTAGGGGTAGCCAGATCAAAACATGGCACAAATCCATGAAGTCACTGACAAGTGGACTGAGCCATGTTGGTAGGTGTAGACTACCTGGTTGGGATCCGCGAGATGATAGCAACCGGTGGTTGGAGATCTTGAATGACATGACTCAAAATCATTTGCGATGGCGCAAGTGCATCCACTCTTTGTGTTCTCCTAAATTCCAATCTTCTGAATCCTTCCCTTTTTCTCTTTCTAAATTTATTCCACTGATTTGTACTACTTGAATAATATCTTCAAACCCTAATCTTTTGGATCACGTTAGCCTCACCACTTTAGTTGTGCCGTGATCTTTGTCCGATTTGATCGTATGTTCAAAAACTGCGTTTATTTCGCTTAGCTCTTTCTGCTTTCTTCACTTCGTTTCTCCGATAGTTTGGCATGATCAACAATTGTATGAAATACACTTATTTGAAATTGGTTCTCGTATTTTACTTATTTAATTCTGTTATTCAATAACGCAGTCTAAGTCATTGGTTATATACGAGAATTGGAGATATATATAAGTCGATAGCGATAATCACATGATCAAATCGGAGTCAGATATTCCCGGGCCACTAAAGATTTAGGAGTGTGGGAATTTTTATGACTTAATGATTTTGTAGTGAATACAATACGGTAAGCGTTCAAATCTTACCTCCAACCAATACAAGGTTGGTGGATTTATTATTTTAATGTGAAGTAGTCATGAATGGAACATGATATAATTAAAGGAATTCGAGAAACTGTTTAAAGCGATTATTTTCACCTTATTACTGAAAATAATGGAATTTTAAACCATCAAATCATTTGAGTTCGTCTCATCTGCATACTTTGCTTCAAATGATCAAGTTGTATCATTGAAAATGATCATATAACAGTAGTACATAACATTCCCTTACCACAAACTCTACTCAACAAGTTAGCTTTTTAGTATGGATGTTAGACATCTCTGTGTTTGACCACTGTTGTCTTCGAAGGATCGCTGGCATCCAGTGACAACACCACGTTAGTAATGCGGAGATTCGGCTTCGTGTGTTCGATCACGGCGACGATAATCCAATTGGTATCACTATCCTGAAGCATCAACTTTGGTGGCTTGGACATGTTCTACGTATGTCTTCCCAAAGAATTCTACGTTGTGCATTATTTACCGACGCTGGGACTGGTTGGGAAAAGCCAAGAAGTGGTCAGTATATGACATAGTGTCGTGGTATGAAAGACAGCTGCAAAGGGCTGGCTCCTATTAGTCCTTCACGACTCCCTGATTGGGGTCCTAGAGATGGTAGAACATAGTGGTTAGAGACGTTATCAGATATGGCTCAGATTAGAGGCCAATGGGGATCCTGCTGTAACCTTCTTTTACTTTCTTCTTAAAAAATTGACGGTGACTTCTTTTACTGAATGACTTCTTTCTGGTTGTACCTTTTCGTTTCCCCCACTATTATTGTTTTACTATCATACACTAATTTGTGGTCGTTATTGTTCTTTTTTTCTTTTTACATGCACCTTACATTCTTTATCTCTACCCATTCTCATTACTATTGTGTAAGTGTATACACTCTCTGTCTTATCTTAAACAGTGAGATTAGAATCGCTTCATATCTTTCTACATACTAATTATTTTTTCCTGTACTATATCCTTATATGCAATCTTTCCTTTATATATTACCACTATTGCCTTAACTACTTCTATGAATTCGGTGTTCTTTTTGTTGTGCTAATTAGGTATGGCAACTTGGGCCGATACATATATATGCCTGGTTCTACATTGTAGCTGACTGACTGACCAACTATTATTGTGTGGCGCATATATTATCTGGTGCCCCCTTGTACCAAATCAATCAACCAATAAATAAACAATAAATAAAATTTTCAATATGAAGGTTATAGAGATATAATTGAATTTGATTGAGATCAATAACCTATCTAATCTAAACAATCATTGATCAACATTATACTTATTAATTAATTCATTTTACAAGTATTTATACATATGCCAATATAGAAATATATACTACTTTTAAAATATAGTAAATTATACATGATCAATAATAAACTGAACTGATAATATATATATAAAATTAATAAGATTATTATTTATTATCTTTTATTGTTATTCTTTTCTTTTCTTTTCTTTTCTTTTCTTTACTTAGTGAACCCAGTGTATTAATAACTCCATTTGCCCAAATTTTAACTATTTTAAATCGTGCACGAGATTTCTTATCTAATTATACTATAAAGTGAGTTATTGTTATCATTATTTTATATTCTAAAAATGAAATATAACAGTGAATTGTTTAAAGGATTTTTGTTCTATAAGATGAATTGGTCAATAAGTTATCATTGAAATAAAATTTGATAAAAATATTTATCATTTCAAATTGATATATTTATATATATTATATTATCTGTATTAAATTGTGAATATTGTTAGGTATTTGATTAAGATTATGAATTGATTGATGTTAGAGCATCATTGTAGATGCACACTATTGAGAAGTCCTATAATAGGACGAAATGGCTGTTCAGTGTTTTCAGGCTTTTAATAGTGATCTAATATTGGTCAATTCATGATCTCAATCAAGTATATCATATTAACATAATGAAAGAGGAAATTATCTAAGATAAGAAATCAAATAAATGGAAACCTAATATCACTAACGGTGTGGTGTGTGCTACTTATGTAGACATAAGTAGTATATGACGTGAGTCGTGAACAGAATGCCTGGAAGCAGAGAGACGAGAAGATCGAACAGTAAAGAATGAAGACAGAATGCAATTTGTATGAAAATGCAAGAACAAAGGGATTCTAAGTCATTTGAGACAATTGGTGGACATTTTGCGAATTGAGCATTTGCTATATGGTTGTTAGATTTTATTAACTAATTCTGTAATTTGTTGTCAAATACATTCGATTGTCTCTATTGATGTCCTGTCCATTACAACAGTAATGCAAGATTGAACAAGAGGAAAGAAAGCACAGTTAAAAAATAAAATGAAAAGTTAGGGTTGACATATAAATTAAGTTTGAATGGATGATAGATGATGGCAAAGATTTGTAGCTTAAGAGAATTATTTTGTTGAAATTGAGTTGTTTAAGTAACATGATTTAACCGTGAAGTTGTCACTAGACAATATCTTTATCATCAGGACCATGTACTTCAGACAGGAGTTATAAGAATTTCTTCATATATAACTAACAATATGTCTTGTCGACTTCATGTACATTCTATCATTGTCTACATATTTTGATTTTCTGTATTTAGAGTTATTCTAACTTAATTTTTTCCAGCCGGCATTGGATTCCGGGGTAGGTGGTGGTTAGGCTCATTGAGAATATCTAGGGTTACCACTTCAGCTGATAACTATCTAGAACTTCGTTTATGAATGAACTACTTTTTTTTATCTAATACCTGACGATTAGAAGAACATATGACCATGTGAAACTACTATGTCAAAATTCTGTACTTCATATTACTCTTTTTAGTCAATTCAGGAAACAATACAGTTAATAGTAGTGTTACGCGGGTTTAACTGTCACAATTTTGACTCAATTTTCTCCTATGATCTGACAAAGTGACAGGACTTGAAATGTGAATCATTAGTGATATGATTGAGGAATTTTAGTACGACAATCAAAACGGACTTAAGTTAGCAATATACGATGAACATGTACTGACCAACACGTAGCATGATGAATGAAAATTTAAAGTAGAAAATTTATGCCTTATTGACCTGAATTGTTGATTCTTACTTCAAATGCTTCTTGCCAATTATATATGAATCCAAAGCTTCACTTGTGGAATAGTCAAACGGTTATAAGAGTACGTTACTAATTGATCCTAGATATTCAGTTACTTTTGTTAATCACCCACTTTCCTAATTGATATCAGTTTATGTTGATGATTAACTCCAAATTTATGTAATAGCTATCATCATATCCCAGATGATTTCATATATTACGAAATCAATACTGGTTTCAAAATCAAACCTCCTTTATTCTGCTTCTTTATTTCAGCTCTCCCTCATATTCTCCGCACGATCCTAATATGTGTAGCACAAAGTCAGTTGGCTGTGATGAAAAATATGTTAGTAAGTTACATGTTTAGATAATTCTGATTTTTTTATTTAAAAGAAAAGAATAAAGACGCCTTGACTCTTAAGAAAAGATGATTTAGCTTTCAGACCACTTAAAATCGACATTCGATAGAATCATTCAATAAAATATTAATTGCTCTCCGCATGATTTCAGTGTTCTGGCTTCCATCACTGGTGGGATTGTGTATAAGCAGTGATGAGGAGTCTTTCACTAAAATGAAACAATTATCCAGTGATTTTTAGTTTTTAATCGTTATTTAACTAAGGTCAATCTGTGATGTGAATCTATAAAATCTATAAAATTCAATAGATCTCTACAATCCTATGTATTAGGGGATAATAGCTATATTCCGTAAATGTTAAAACAATGAAGTGTCCAGCCCGTCATAATAAATCTTTTACAGTATTCGTCGGACTACAGAAGCAATAGCCAAGCGAAATATCTTCACACAATTTTTATTAGCTTTGTTGACCTTGGGTTTAATAAATTAAGGTGATGGAGTATATTTTTAGTTCAAGATGAGGATGTTGGGGGTGCTGTGGTCTGCAAGCTGAAAGGTTTGATTGTGAAGTTCACACTGTTTTTCTAAACAACATCATCAGTATGTGCTTCAAAGAGAAGTGAGCAACTACAATTTCTTCACAATTGACTAATATCTTATTCTGTTGACTGTTGGTTGTTACACATAATTGTGTAGTAGTTGTTTGTAAGTTTACTTTGGTTATGTTTCTCTTCTGATCTTAAGAAGAAAAACAAATAAAGGCTGTGGAAAATAATAACGGTGGTGTGTTCTAGCCGGATTGGTTGGTAAAGCGTTTTCTAGTGAAGCCAATGTAGAACCTTCCAGAGTGGGTTATGTATTTTCAAGGTTCACCCTAACTCGCCAAGTGGATGTGATTTGGTGGGGACCGAGGTCCCGCAGGGCTTTACGTGTATCTTCCTATCGTAATAAGAGCAAGTAAATGATTTTTTGTTATTACTTACTCTGGATAGGTTTAGTCTACATGCACAATAGATAACATACGGACTTTGATCAAAGTATTCCTTGGTATATACACAGGTATACGTACCCTGCGTGTGAATATATGTTGTATGCACACCAGTAACACACAGGTTTTATTCCATGCATCCCATAGCATACATATGGGTATATTCACCCACCTGGGGAAGTTGATGGTCACCACTCTCTTGGAAACATATTTACACATCACATGCATATCATTCAGCACATAGCTACCGCCCCAGTACTTCCTGGTATATATAAGTAAAAGCATTCTCTCAAGTGAGGTTGTTGATCACTTCACTCTAGTATTTGCTACCATATCTTCTTATTATGTCTTCGACCTGATTTTATTAAACATAGGGTTGACAATAATTCAGCCGTTTTTTTTGTATGACACCACACATACACCCTTTGCATATACCTACAGACGTGAATTACAAAAACCCGAGGACTACTGCAATTCTTATACATAAGCATATATACTAAGTGGCCCGGTACGATTAAGTGAACCTAGGGTTAGAATCCAAGTCGATCAGGATGCAACAGAGTGGGTGATCAGTTCGACCTCTGAGACCGCTAAAATTAGTTAGCAAGGTTGCACCTACTATCGAGAAACGCCTCAAGGAGGCCTACGGTCGGGTTTCACTGCCGAAAATAATCAAAAATCAAGTTGTTTTTCAAGCCTAATTCATACAACAAAGAGATGAGAGCGTTACAAATCTTTCTGTGAATACAAGGACTTGCGTTATCAGCTTAATTTCCTATAGATGTCTCTATATGTACAAGACTATTGAATTCCATGGGGGAAAATGGTATGTATAAGATAAAGTATTCCGAATGATTTGTTTCCATCTACTGCATGACTTTTATCGGCCATGTGTGACAGAACGAAACTATGTATTGTTTTGATCATACCATTTCCCAATCACGAAGTGAAATGTTCACTAACTCATTGGGTAAGTTGACTGACTCTACATCAGACATGGCTTTCTCGATAAGAGTAACTGGACTTCCAGATATATATATAGATATACCTGTTATCACATTATCAATCTGTACTTTTTACTTATTATGTTTGGTCATGCAATCTATTTCGTTTTTGTCACTAACTCATAAACTCCCTTGATTGGTTTGTTAATTTTCATGTATGCATATAAATATTAATGAATATTAGAGTCAAGGCTAATAAAAATGTAATTGGTAACAATGCTGTTAAGTGGTATATGTTATCCTAATTTTCACGATGGAGATTCTTAATAAAACATATCAAGGTCGACAATAAAGAATAACTAATTTAGTGTGTTTATGTGCGAAGGGAAGCTATGGTAATTAATTCAATCTATAGGCTTTATTCAACAAAGATTGATCTCAACTGATATACCACTAAATATTTGACTTCGTCCCAGGATCGGGCTCTTAATTGGTATACAGCCACAAACATGATAAGGATTAAACACAGGATTTTAACATTAAAACTACTAAATTAGTGTGTGATGATACTATTTCAAATTTCATTAATTTGTAATATAGTACGACAATCATCCAATACCGTTTATGAAGACTCTTTCACTGCCAATATACCTGAACTGTAAAAGTCATGAATTCTTTCTCTAAAACTTCAGGAATATGTCGAACTCATGTTATGGTTTTCGTTAATATTGGATAATAATTAATAAGAAAGGTTAGAAAATGATCTTTTTGCATGTGATCAATAGTAACTTAGTTACTATTAAACAATTTAAATTGAAAAGATTTTGTGGAGATTAGTTTAATTTGCTGGTTATATTCATCACAAATTTATTTCTTTTGAGGTACCTGCAAAAATTATTATTTATCCCGTGAACTTAATATTTCAGTTTATACTGTTGATATGGTCATATATGTACACTAATGAAGAATCTTATATTATAGAAGAAATAACTGTTACATACTTCTTGATTCCTAATGGTTTTTCGAATGAGATCAGTTTGTGATGAATACTACCTATAAATAAATCATACGTTGGATATCATCCTCTTTAATACAACTGTAAATTATTAGATCAATTAACACTATAATAAGATTTAATAAATGTACACTGTACATAATTTAACTCATTTATTCCATCCATCTACACACACACACACATCCACACACATCCACAAGCACATACACACAACAAAACCTTGGATTCATTAAAAATCTATTCATTGTAATAATTTTTTTTTTTGTTTTATTGTAAAATAAAATTAGATTGTCTACATCAATTTGATGTACATTATGTGAATCAATTATTAAATGATTTTGATTGGTGTTTGGAAGTATTGGATAGTTTACAATGTAAACGTTCTGTAAGCAGTTTAACACGAATGAAAGTAAGTTATTCATGTATATATTTTTTTCTGATGATGATGATGATGATGTATGAGAATTTTTGTAGTTTCAACTTATTTAGAATTTCAATAGTTGAGATCATGAGTCAATTGAAGTTAGACAACCGTGGAAAATCTGAAAGCATTATACGGCTGTTTCATTCTAGTATGGAAGTCATCAGTAGTGCGACTTCACGATCTTGCCTCCCGCGAGATTCTAACCCAGGACTTATCAGTCTCGCGCGCGAGCGCTTAACTATTTGACCATTGAGGTGGCTGGCATCCAACGGTGTTAATATCTAACTTCGCGGATGCGCACTGGTGAGGAGTTCCATATTAGGATGAAACGACTGTCCAGTGCTTCCAATTTTTCCATGGTTGTCTAGTTTCAATTGACTCATGATCTCAACTATTGAAATAAAATAATTTCATGAGTTTACCTGGAATGAATGAATTAATTAATGAACGAAAAATACCCCCTTTTAAAATCTCTTCAGTATATCACTAAATTAATGTTGGCGATGATTTATCCTACTCGGGAAATGTTAATCGATTTGTAATAATGTTGATTAAAATCTTTTGAAGAAGCCCTGTTTAAAATTTGGAAACTGTAATAGTAAAAGTGATCACAGGGATCAGTACAACATATTATTTTATTGACCAATGTTTCTGAAATTTGTTATAGCGTGTGATCCGCTTATCAGAGAGCAGCCTATTATCGATCGAAACAGTGACGCATAAAACACGAGCGAGCAGCCTAGAGTCCTGCTTCCCTGTCTAGCCCAGCCAATTGAGTCCAGAACACAAGTCTCAGCCTCGGATATATGAATCATTATATTTCAAACATACTCTGTTTATATAGCAATCAAACAGACTACATCGTACCATAAAATAGAAAGTAACATTTGTATAAGATTTAACCTTCAGGAAATGACACAAATAAATATTGACCAATAAGGAGATGACACGTTGGAAGAATGTTGACCAATGAAGAAATGACACTACTTCTCATTCAGGAATAGCAATAGATAATTTCTGGGGTATTTTCTGAATACCCCAACAAAATTTACTACTACTTATCTCTTAAATGTTTATTGTTTGGTATCATGATTATAATAGTCTAACGTTCTGCGAACGATATTCATCTTGATATTTTGCCAACAGCAGTAACAACATTGTAATAATATTTCTCACATAAATTCACTTAGTATTGTTTAATTGGATCTTCCCATTGATTTAGAAGACCGCAATACCATGTGTATTTAAACTTCTTTCCATTGCACAAGCAGGTGGCTATCAAGGCTCAGTAGCCAAGTGGATAATGCGATGGCGTTTAAAACGAATGGTACTGGGTTCGAGTCCCAGAATGAATATCAACTCTGAGATGTAGGTAAATCCAGCCGACGGGTCCAAGATAGGGTTAAACACGCGTCCTGGATTTTACTGCTAGCCACTATTCATCTTTTAAAAATAGTTTGAATTGTAGAAGGCATTCGCCAAAAATGGATCTAAGTTGATACATCATTTAAAACCAGAGAGCACTGGATAACTGCCTTGTCCTAGTATGGGAGGAGTCATTATAATGCATTAGCGACCATATCATGATTTTTAAGTTAACCGATAAGGCTCATAATTTTCTTTAAAACTTTGAAGATAGTCACTAAATGTCCTTAGTTTACTTGAAATATTTTATTCTTCTTCGTAATTTTAAGGATGATTTGATATTACTCTTAGAAATAATTTTCTAATTACAGAAAACTAAATGAGTGAACAAACATATTTTGAATAAACATGTAAATAAATTTCTTTAGAATCAATAATATTTTCATTAAAAACCAATCAATAATTGTGTTTTTGATTGAGATCATGAACCGATTGATGTTAGACCACTATTGAAAATTTCGAAGCATTGGACGGCCGTTTCGTCCTAGTATGGGACTCAGCAGTGCGCATCAACGAACCCAGGGCCCTCAGTCTCGCACTCGAACGCTTAACCTACTGGACGACTGAGCTGGCCGGCATCCAATGGTGTTAATGTCTAACATCAACCAATCCACGAAATCGCTCGACGATCTTCCATTTTACTGAAGTAGATACCTATCTCTGCCCGACACGGATTATGTATCAATCCATTTAAAAATGAATGTATCTTAAATTTCGTTTTTGTACATTTCTTCTTTTATTGATTTAGTTACGTAGTCTTCTTAGTCAAGAGTTGGCTGCTTCATTTAATCAATCAAATGATAAAATCATCAAGAAAGATTCAATCAAAAAATCAACTATAACATCTCATAATGTACGTTTCGATGATACAATTTTAAAAAGCTCTCCACTATCATATGATCAAGATAATAATAATAATAAGTCAAATATTAGTCAAATGCAAAAACGTAAACAACAATTTAGAAGTTGTAGATCACAAGTTTGTGAATATATTTGTAAAACATTTCTTGAAGATGATGATGATGATGAAGATATTGACAATAATCATGAAGATAACGATGATGATGATGATGATAATAATAATAATAACAAGAAGAAGAATGATAATGATGAGAAGAACTTCAAAAATCTATCTACAGAAAAATCTATTCATTTGAATAGTCCAAAATCAAAACTTCGATTCAATGATAAATATGAAAAAACAATAGATGAATCTAGTGAGACAATCGAATCTACAACTGATCGAATATCTGAATCAAAATCTATCTCATCTACACAATTCAATGATACAGATGTAATATCTACTACATTAAAGTTAATTACACTAAATATTGAACATTTTGATAATTCAATGGTGGAAAATGTAGGTTCAAAAAAACTTTTTAAATTACATGTTAAAACTCATAACTATATCCTCACTAAATAAGATCTCAAGAGGATAGAATTCACTTATGAGAAAAGAAATTTACACCAATCCAACTAATAATCTTCACCTTAATCATTTAAAATAAATGGTAACAAATACTGATTAAATATCCAAACGTCTAATGATCCGCCTAAATGCTCTGGTACGGCCGAAAGTGGGGAGAGTCCGCTCTCCCACTCGAAATGCTCTCACATGGCCACGCGTATATAGCCTCTACTAGGAAAGTCTTACTCACTGCCTTCTCATGGCACCGGTGTTGTTTATGAAATTGATAGGACGAAAAGTGAATGTCCGGTGCTTTAACAGGTTGGTGGATACGGATAGTATGACGTATGAACCAATCGTTGGTCAACGGCTACCATGGAACTGCATTTCCTTACAATGCTCCACTCCCTTGTGGATCAGATCTTTAGGTTGAAGGGTCCGGGTGTGACTTTCTAAGAAATCCACCTGCTTCGGTTTGGGCACCTGCACAGTATCATAGCCCTCACACAAATCAAATGAGATCTGTAGGGCGCATATGTATCTGTTGTCCCTTTGTACCAATATTTATGTGTTTAAATAATAAATAAATAAAAACAATAACAATCTTTTCAATGACCAATTAGGATACAGTGGCAACAAATTGATTAACATTCTCTTATTGCATTGTTCTAGAACTCAAAAACTCATTATATTGTATAGCTTAATTATATCACCTTAAAGTACCAGAAATAAGAAATGACAATTTGTATATAACTCAGTCATATGCGATACATAATTGAGTAATAAGAGTGTAATTATTGATGGTTTTTATATGGTAGATTATACTTGAACATTTCATAAGTTAAATGAAAGCTTAAATTTAAGAGAATGTATAAATACCATGAACCAAATATTTTTGATTGAGATCATGAACCAATTGATGTTAGACCACCATTGTAAACCTAGAAGCACTAGACGACCGCTTCGTCCTATTGTGGGTCTCCTCAGCAATGCACATTCACGATCCCAATCGCGGGATTTATATGAGAAATTTTCTGTCTTGCTAAAATCAGTTACTTTTTTATAAATGACTAATGAATCATTTCAATTAAAGCAAGATCTTCAGTGAGAATTCGATGTAAATTTGAATCTTATTTAAAGATCTGAATAGATTTCTTGGAAATATGATGAGAATCAAAGTTACTCTACATTAAGAGTTCTTTATTTTCTCGCTGTCGAGTCCCAGTATAATGAACGAGAATACAAGCGCGGACAACCGAATGTATTTCAATACACAATTACACTATCACTTACTAAAATCTGAAAACCATACAGTGAATACTTCATTCGCAAAATGTCAATCAATTGTCTGAGACTTTATTGTTCCTTCATTTCCACACCCATCACTCTCTGTTCCTATTCTCGTCTCTTCAATCTTCTTAACCTTCGGAAGTCAGATATTTCACTTTCGATTACTGATACATACTACTTATATCTGTCGATATCAGTAGCCTACACCATACCAGGATAATAATCAATTAATCATATGTTCATTTTTTTTTGGTAAACTACTTCGACATTGTCTTTTCATCGTATTCGTTAGTATACTTATCATACATTTGGTGAAGTTAAGTCGTGATTGGTAAATGAGTGAAAACAGAGTTGTCCTCTTGAACTAAATATAAGAGGTTATCTTGCGTGTTCCTTTACTAACCTCTTTGTACAGGTATCAACAAATTAGTATTCTGAACTGTGTCTAGTTCTTGATGGTTGGTAAAATAAATTAGTTGAGCTTGTCATGTGAATCAGAGCCAAGTCTAATGATCTATTAATTTAGTATCATGCGCTCAACGTAGGATCATAGAAAACTTGATATTTGCATTACGAAAGTTTTGTATCCTTGCTATCAGTGAAATTCAGGATATCTGTTTCATCATAATATGTGCACATCAATACTGGAACACACATGCAATCATTTGATAAGTCATAAATAGGACGAAGTATATATTATAGTTTTACTATGAGTTACAGTCCAAATTTGCATGTTTATTTTTAAAAAAAATAATGAAAAAAAAAAGATTTTTGTTTTATTTCTATCAAACAGTAACTTTTTATAGAATTTTTTTTATTATTTTTATTTATTTATTTATTTTTTTAAAGTTTATCATAAATAATCAATCAAATTTAGCTCCAGATCTATTTAAATTAGATCAAATTTCTAATCATCATCCTTTAAGTACACTTGGCTTTTATTTATTTATGGTAAGTATTTATTAATAATAATAATAATAATAATAATAATAATATTAAGCATATAAACATTATTGAATTGACATTAATCATAATAATAATAATAATAATTTCTAATGTTTAATAAACATGTTTGTTTAATATATAATATTTTTAGTTCATTTTATGGTTGATTTATTGGAGTGATATAAATTTCATGAAGGATTTCATTTCTGAACCCTTGTTATTATTTGTATTTCTTTTATCCGGCATATCTGACTAAGTTACGCTGAATAAATTACTAGTAAAGTGTTGAGGATAACTTCAGAAGTTTTGATCATAAATCCATTTTAAATATACAGATTTATTTATTTATTCATTTGGACATATAGATATTGGTACAAGGGGGCACCAAAAAGATATGCGTCACACAAATTTCATTCGATTTGTATGAAGTCTGTGATACTGCCCCCCTGTGACCAAACCGAAGCAGAACTTTAATATACAGTACTCACTTAGTAAATGAATCAAAAACTAATCTACATTGCTGGATAAGATATATTAAGTGAAAATTGAGTACATCGAGAATAAACTCAGTCAAAATATTGTTCACATAACTTTAAATCTTAGATTAACTTTTATCATAAATATTATTTTATAATGTCTAGATGTAATGAAGTTGATAATAGGCTGTCAAAATGTTTAATTTTTTTTTTCAATGTTGTGAATGAATTGTGGTTCTAATGAATAAATAAAATAATATGAATTTTTAAGTGAGACTATGATTTATGGATGATCTTTGAGCAACGCTAAACTGACCTTTTGAATATTCACTTACCAAGACTAAATGAAGGTTTTAAAGTAGTGTGAGGAATTAAAATTATGATTTACAGTTTATGGTTAGGATTAACAAATAATTTATGGTTTTCGTCACAAAATGACATCAGCTAAAATGCCAAAACGCTATTTAATTAAATGTATGAATGGATTTCCCTCCGAAGTTCAAGACTCGCTATCTTACATCTGATTATTTGGTCCATACATTATAGTCTTGCCAAATTTATAATTCAAATTATCACGCTAAACTTTGTTAATACCTGATTGGTTACATTCTATTTCAGTTTTACATGTTCAATGTTAATATTGTCATTATATAAACAGAATTATTGTGTCAAATGTTCAACTTATACTGGAAATAAGACTATTACTTATCAAGAACCACATTCTCTTCTCTTATTACGATATATGATGTGGATATTTTGGCTGTAATGCTATCCTTGAGTAACTAAACTAACTTGTAAATGAAAATCAAATGGGAAAATACGTTCTAGACTAAATTGGCTTAGAAATATGAGATATCCAAATTATAGAATTAGTCAAATAAATATAAACCTATCCTAAATGTAATATGAGCGTTTTCATTGAAATTAAAAACATAAATTCTAAATTTATAACATACTTAATTAGATATCGATGTCACAATAGATATATGTCTTATAAAAGACATCATTTACCAATAAATTTACTTTCTTATAATATCAGAAGGGGTCTTGTAGAGATTGTAGTAATTTCAATAGTTGAGATAATGAGTCAATTGAAGCTAGACAACCATGGAGAACTGGCAAGCACTGGACGACTGTTGCGTCCTACTGTGAGACTTTACAGCAGTGCGCATCCACGACCCCGCCTCACGGGATTTGAACCCAGAACCTATGAGTCTCATGCGCGAACGCTTAACCATTAGACTATTAAACTGGCCGGCATCCAATGGTGTTAATGTCTAACTTCAACTCATCCACGGCTCAGTGGTCTACTAGTTAAGCGTTCGCTCGCGAGACTGATATGTTCTTGGTTCAAATCCCTCGAGGCGGTTTCGTGGATGTGTACTGCTAAGCAGTCCCACAAGAGGATGAAACGCCTGTCCAGTGCATCCAAGTTTTAGTGGTGGTCTAGCCTCAATTGACTCATGATCTCAATTATTGAAATTAATATTATATGACTTTATCGACCATTATATGTATATTGTAAGTGATAAGATCTTGTTCTAGTGATCCAGTGTGGAGTTGGACAAAATGTTATGAGTCCAACAACGATACATATAACTCTGTCTGAGATTGAATATACGCCTTGTTGATGAATCTTAACCTGCTTACATAACGTATTATATATCATAAATCCTGATTAACTCACTTTTGTTTCCTTCCAGTAAAATTTATTCGTTTGTTAATTTTTATCAAAATGTTATGTTAATCTTCTTTATTTTAATACAGAAAACTAATATATTACAAAAATTGTCTATACCTTCAGTGACAATGTTAAACTGTTTAAGACAAATTGAATCACGATACAATTCAACTGCACCGTTTCATAATTCAATTCATGCTTTAGATGTATTGCATGCAACTTATCAACTATTTCAATGTAATAGCTTAAAAGTAAGTTATACTTGGTACTTTATTCATATCTGTCATGACTTGTGACCACTAATTAATAACATATGAAAAGACCACCAATTAGAATAGCGACTGATATGACTTAATATCTATGAGTTGATCAATTCCACATACACAACTAAAACTGGTGAACTTCAGACAACTGACAAGTTATAATTGGTCCACAATTCTCCACTCAGTAACCAGAATCAATGAACGAATATTATATTCCAAGAGGATGTAGTCTATACACAAACATACTAGACCATAAAACGAAAAATAATAATTATACATGATCAAGATTAAAGTGGCTGTGAGTAGGGACACTGTGGATAATAAGCTGTTAGCTGATGAAGAACAGAAGACCATACAAAAGTAGTTAATACGCTAATCGGCAGCTTATGATATATATATTAATAATTATCCATAAATTGTTCCTGGAAGTTATCATACCTATAGTTTTAGTTCGGATATGACAATATTTTCTTGCAAATTTTTTATCAGTTACTGTAATACACTAGTCTCGTTTCTGTTGCATATTGTTTTTAAATAATACTTAGCGATTCTTGTTACACCTTGAGAGTTGGTTCGGTACAGATCTGTGGTGATTGTTTATTAAGAGACGATTGAGTATGTGTGCACATAAATAGGTTTACGAACTTGAATTTGTATAAATAACGATTGACCTAAAAGTAACGAGCTCGCCATGAGACTTTAAGGTTTTGTTTTGTGGATAAACACTATGTTGGAATTCTATACTTATAGAGAAAAAAACCGATCAGTTCGCCTTGGCTTGTTTATTTTAGTAGATCAGGCTGAGGACCTGAATGACTCTGGTTCAAATAACACAGGGGACATCAATTATATCAAGATTAGAGTCATGTAATACTGATGAGTGGCACGACGCCTTGCTTCAGGATTTCCTGTCGACAAACTCAAGCTACGTAATATCAAAGCATTCTCGACGAAATGTCTAGAAAGTTAGAATAATCGTGATAATACAATTTGATCTATAGAATTCAACAAATTAAAGGATCAAACTAATATAAAATTGACCAAATACTCAGAGATCAATCAATTTTAAGTTGTGTACTCTGAACGTCGTTCAGTGCCTTTATTTATCTAATTAACTAGTGAACTATTTGCTCTAGTAGTTTAAACTCATGTTGTTGATCATAGATTTAATTTGAAGACTGATTTGCAAAGTAATCTTCGTAAAACTGTTCCTCAAAACAATAAGTCTTAAATAATCTTTTTGAATCGAGATTTAAAAGTGATTTCAAGAAATGTGAAAGATATTCAATAGTTGGCAGTTATCATTTGCGGTCAAATTACTAATGAATCAAAATAAACATTGACTATAATTAACTCTTCCTCATCCAACACCTTATCTACCTATTAGGTGGTGACATGCTGATAGGTCGAAAAAGTCTAGGGATGCTAAGTATCTGTGTTCATATGTTCGAGATCAAACTATGGGTGAGAAGTTATGAAAGTGACATAGTAATGACGGAAGTCTATTTTATTCCTGGTATCGTAGTCTCAGCTTACTTATGCTTGTCTGGTTCAGAAGAACAAGTATATAACAACAAAAATATCAATGCCTTGTAAATCTATTGATTTAGTTTTATTAATTACGAATCTGTAGTCGATTCTCAATCTTATCACTGTCTCATCACAGCTTGGGTATATGTGTAGGAAGCGTATATGTCCCTACCAAGTTAGCCTGTGGCTTTTACTATGCAGGTCGATATGTACGTCCAGCGGTGTGTGAACGAGGCTCTCCTCGTGGCCGTGTCACTACGCACGACCACCAATGATAGGTCTTGAGTTGGACGTTGGCCAACGGATATGCGACCAGTCTGGTAACCGTGCGAACAGTTGGTATCTGATGAACATGTCCACAGTGAAAATGACGCCAGAGTAGTAACATGCATGCTGACACTCGTGAATAGCCCACTGATCACTACGTCTGGCTCGTGTGTCCACATTAAACTTCCTTGATGGCAACATATATACATGCAAACAGTTAGCAATTTCACGTATAGATGTAATGCATTCTATAATGACTGATGATGAAGTCCAGATCATTTGTAATGTCCTGTTTAGTCAACCAGTGGACAGATAATGAACCACTGTAATTTACGTAATCAAAGCATTTCTCCAGTTATTACAAGATCATTTTGTGATTTCTTTACAGTCCTTAAAGTTAAGGACAGCTTTCACATGTCATGTGTCAATGAAGTAAAGCCAAACTATTTCTAACAAACTTTTTCTACGGCTTATTTCTATTCACTTCCTCAGAATATATTCAGTGATCTTGAAACGTTTGCAATTTTCTTTGCTAGTGCTATACATGATATCGACCATCCTGGTTTAACAAATCAATACCTTATAAATACAAGTAAGTTAGCAAAATGCATTTAAAAACTTAGCTATTTAATAAAAAGTTATGTTGTAACTGTTCGTCTATCAGCAATAGGACGAATACAATCCTTAGCAGTCTCCTTTGTATTACTCCATGTTTGTGAAACAGTGTATGAAAGTAGAAGACTTGTGTAGAGTGCAAATTATTGTTCATAGATGTTTGCTTATCGTGAAATGATCGAGTGGCCATTAGTCTGAGAGGATCAATATCGTCATTTCAGTCAATAGTTCAAGGTTATCGAAAACAGGTCCTAGACTAAGGTTTAGTGTTGGAATTATTCAGTAGTAGTGTTCTCCACTCAGTGACACTAATTAACATTGGGATAAGATTTTACCGAGAGCGTCAATTGTCTTAAAACCTTTTGTACTTGTTGTTAACAGATTCCAGTTAACAGAAAGCCTAGATCAACTATGACTTCTTACTGTTTGCTTTCAACTACTAACATTATCCCATTCTCCATAACATCTAGTAATTAACTATGATTGTTTCTAACAATGGTAATGCCAAATCACATTAGCGAATGATCATAAGATCTCGACACCTCTTAGCCAATCAAAAAGCAGCAAATAAAAATTACTACTTAACAACAGAAAACGTAAAAAATTGCAAAGAATATATTATTGATTTTACATGATTATACAATTGCCTTGAGTTGGGTATAGGTTGAGATTCAGAGTTAGAAATTAGAATCAGTATATTTATATGTCCCATAACCTATAACTCTATCCCTAAATTCCACTGTCAACCATGAACCTTAATCCCAATCTTAAATACAAATTATAAGCCAATCTCATTCCTAACCTGCTAGGTTTTGAAGCGGTTACGAGTTCACTCAATCTGCAAACGGAACAAAGACTTGGTGACCAAAGACCAATAACCTAGCTATTCGATGCGTCCCAACGCCCCCAAATGCCCTGGTACAGTCGAGAGTGGAGGGAGTCCGCTCTCCCTCTCGAAGTGCTCTCACATGGCCACGCGTATATAGCCTCTGCCAGGGAAGTCCTAATCACTGCCTCCTCGTGGCGGGGGTGCTGTTTACAAAAAATGTCTGGCGCTTTAATCGGATCCCAAAATGTTGGTGCACATGGGCTCCAGTATCCTGAAGGAACAAATGGCGTATGAACCAACCGTTGATTACCGGCTACCGTTGGACTGCATCTCCTTACGATGATCCACTGCCTTGTGGGTCAGACCTTTAGGTCAAAGGCTCAGGGTGTGGCCCCCCAAGAAAACTACCTGCTTCGGTTTGGGCACCTGGGCAGTATCATAGCCCTCACACATATCAAATGAGATCTGTGCTGCGCATATCTATTTGGTGCCTCCTTGTGCCAATATCTATGTGTTAAAATAAATAAAATAAATAAATAAGATGCGTCCCAGCACCGCCAACTAGTGAAAGAAGTCCAAGCTTGGAATGGAAAGTATATTTCGCAAACAGACACAAATCAAAACGTATCTGTACAGCACAAAATCATCCTTGAGGAGAGTTACAAAACAGCATACTAAAAGACACAATGGACTTATAGCATTTAAGATTCTATCAAGTGGGAAATACTACATGAAGATGAAATGAGCTCTTTTGGCGCGAAAAGATCGCAGTGAAAAATCTCTCTATCTCATATTTATTAAAACATATTTTCAATTATTTATTGTTGGCATTCACAAATGACTGTTTTGCTCAATGATCCAACATCTTATAAGTAATAAACGATGCTTTTCTCATTAAAAATTTCTCTTTAATCACTATGATTGATAGTTACCATGTTGGTTTGCTATTTACACGAATATTTTCAAGTATAATTCTTGATCCAAACTGTTTAGTAAGTATACTTAAATTAAACCTCATCAACTATATTTAATATTTTGTATCATACCCCCACCTCTTAATGTATTAATCTAAATTTTTATATTTCAATTCTTCTTTATTTTTTTTTTTCTTCAAAAAACTTATTCCTTCTACCATCTCTGTACATTGGATTCACAGATCATGAATTAGCTTTATTATACAATGATATTTCAGTTTTGGAAAATCATCATTTACATGTAGCTTTTAAATTAATTAATACAGAGAAAGAATGTGATTTTACGCAATATTTTACTAATCAACAAAAATTATTATTTCGTAAAATGGTAATTGGTTTAGTAAGTCATAGTAATAATTCATTTATTTTTAATATTTTGTTAAATTGAATTATTTCCATTAGTATAGGGTTGTAGAGATTATGACTTGAGATCATGAATCAACCACCACTATAGAAAACTTGGAAGCACTGGACGACTATTTCATTCTATTGTGGGACTCCTCAGAAGTGCACATTCACGATCCCTTTCGTGGGATTTGAACCCAGGGATTTCAGTTTCTCGCGCGCGAACACTTCACTTCTAGACCACTGAGCTAGCCGATATCCAACGGTGTTAATGTCTAACTTCAACCAATCCACGAAATTGCACGATAATCTTCCATTGTACCGAGATAAATACTTGTGTTTACCCGAGACGATTTATCTCCACTGGTCCAGTGCTTCCAATTTTTCAATGTTGGTCTAACATCAATCAGTTCATAATCTCAATTAAAAACTTAATAATCTCCACAACCCTATACTGAAATTTTTTTTCTTTTGGACGAAATTATTTTTTAAAGCTGTACACATTCGTATGCAACCTTTCTTTTATATATAACCACCACTGATTTAACTACTTCTATGAATTTGGTGTTCATTTTGTTGTGCTAATGAAGTATGGTAACTCGGACTGATGTACATATGTGCCTGGTCCTACGTTGTAGCTGACTGACTGACACATTCATATTTATAGTTATATGGAGAATATATGTCTATAGAAGAATAGAAAAGAATTCATTATAAATTGATTTGACATTCTTATTATCAACTGAGGTCACTCAATAATTACGAGGTAAGTAAAGAAATAGAAAGCTAGAAATAATTTACAGGTCAGAATTATAAAAGATAATTGCCCGTTTGAAAGATGTAAAGAAACAAAACACAAAACAAAGGTCATTATAATTAAATAATAATTATGAAGAATCTGTCAAAAGATAGCTGATAACGGATTAAGGTTTAGAATTACAAAACAATAACTGAAAGAAAAATCAAAATCAAAAAATACTACGAAAGGGAATTAGGGCCAAGAAAGAATGAGAGGTTGGACATGTCTATTTCGCATGCAAAGTTTGGGCTTGATTTAGTACTTTTTGTTCTTTTACCTTAGGATTCTTGAATAATCTGATTTGATAATAAGAGTCATGAATTAATTTATGACGTAATCTTTTCTTCTCTTCTATTCTCCATATAACTATAAATATATACGTTATCTTGAACTATTCTAAAACCACAGAGGTTTTTGAAATATTTATATTTAGGGTTGATTTTTGTGTTATATGGAATCTACATAACAAGAATTGAGTATTTGATACTTTTAAATCTAGTTGAAATTCTGAGTCAATTAGAGCTAGACCACCATGGAAAACCTGGAAGCACTGAACGGCCATTTCGTCCTAGTATGAGACTCCTCAGCAGTGCTCATCCACGATCCCGCCCCCTGACAGATTTTAAATCTGTCAGTTTTACCGTGTAATGAACATAAGATAAAAGTCATTCATTTCTGAATTTCAAGGTCATTTCGTCGATCCGTTTCTAAACTATGCCTATACTCATATTTTTAATCATTATTCTTTGTTAATAATCATCAAATGAAACGATCATCTGATCGTGTTGTCTGATGAGAAACTGCTTCGTTTTCAATCGGGTACTGTTACTTAATGATATTATAATGATCACAGTCAATGTTATCATAGAGAGATGTTGTGTTTTTAGTTTATTCTAGCATTCTTCCAACCTACTCCTATACTACCAATAGTTGCTTTGTCGAAGTGATTATTGGACAGACAAATGCAACACACATTCTAATCATCTCAGTCAATAGAAACTCACTACTTATGTAATACTCTGCATCTAACATCAGAATTGTTTAGTTGAACAATAGTTCAATGATATCTATAATCGAACACGAATAACTAATGAATATTCATTATAAAAATCTTTCACATTACTTTACTATTATTTTATTTATTTTAATTTTTTAGGTATTATCGACTGATATGAGTAAACATATGTCATTATTGGCTGATTTAAAAACAACCGTTGAAAAACAAAAAGCATTTCAAGGCAATGTAATCAATTTAGATAGTTATTCAGCTCGTATGCAGGTATTTTCATGACAAAAAAAATAAATTAATTTAATTACTCTACATATAAAAAAAAGATAATTATTTCTGTGTTGGTTCACATTTTAAATAGATGAAATCAAATTGTATCCTAGTTGAATGAATGAATGAATGACACTACTGATTTCTATCATTCACTTAACTTTTAACTCATTCCGTTCGTTTTTTTTTTCCAATGGATAACAATGACTTGATGAATTCTCGATGATATCAAGAAAGATGTTGATAACATTTCAACTTTGATCATCCATTTTAAAATATCTTCAAAAATAGTCAGTCATACAATATTGATAACGACTGATCCACTTTAGTTATGGTTTTATAATAGAAATTAATGACTGTCACTCTATATCCTGACTTGATTGAAGCTGAAAGAATATCGTTAAATTCCAATTCAGAGGATATATCAATTAAGTATTCATGTGAAACGTGGAAGTCTTTGATTGGAGACATAGTTGAACACTACATAGAAGTTATATTCTAGGAAAAAAACACCTTTCCATTGCTCCCTGGTTTTCAATAGTACTCGAAATCATATCCATCTGTGAAAAATATGGTCTACACAAATAAGTACAGACTTATACTATTTTAAAGTTTATCAATTGTAAATTTTTATTGTAATATACAATGTGTCATGTCTTTCATATGACATTAACTATAAATATATCAAAACCACTTGGCATATTTTCACATACTCTACAAGCCATCGAGTTTACTGTTTTACACGGTTTGATTACTGAACCAATATGATGTTGTTCTAGTCAATCAAGTTTCAATGCGATCTCCATTTTAAATGATAGATTTATTTTTTTATTTGAACACATAAATACTGGTATAAAAGGGGAACATATAACATATGCGCCACACAATCCACTTGATTTGTTTGCGGACTGTGATACTTTTCGGGTGCCCAAACCGAAACAGGTGGTTTTCTTAGGGGACCGTACTTGAAGCCTTTGACCTAAACGTCTGATCCACAGGGCAGTGGAGCAATTTAAGGAAATGCAGTCCCATGGTAGCCAGTGACAAACGATTGGTTCATACGACAATTGTTCCTTCAGAGTACTGGATCCCATGTGCATCATTGGTTTAGAATCAGGACATTCCAACTCTCCTAGGCGAACTCTCCGTATCCACTAACCCGGTTAAAGCGCCGGACATTCGCTTTTCGTCCTGTCAATTTCGTAAACAACACCCCCACCACAAAAAGGCAGTGAGAGGACTTCCTTGGTAGAGGCTATATAGGCGTGACCATGTGAGAGCATTTCGAGGGAGAGCGGACTCTCCCCACTCTCAGCTGTACCAGGGCATTTGTGGGCTTAAATGACAGAACATCTAGTTGACTGTGTTTGGTGATTTTCTAGTACCCTTCACTGAAGAAAACAGCTCTTATCAAATGGATCATGTGTTTCAATCAATCTATGAACCCTGTGAGAATGATTCAAGGTCAGAGCGGCTGTCAAATTCCTGTGTTACGTAAACATTGGATATATATATAGTATTTTCTGCTTTCCCGACAGCTGATACACTATCTTGAATAATCAACTGAAGAACCTAACTTTTTAGGTTATTTTGATGAACTGCACATAGAACAAATGTATTTTATCCCAAATAGGGGAGTATTTCGAAGTTGATGAAAATGATGTATGTATAACCTTAGCTCATATACTTATTAAACACCTAAAACATATTTCTCAGTATGTATTTTACTGTCTAACTATCTATAGATATTAGAATGTATAATACATGCAGCTGATTTAAGTAATCCAACAAAACCATTAAAAATCTATCAAGAATGGGTTTCAAGAATTATGGAAGAAATGTTTCGTCAAGGTGATCAAGAGAAACAATTTGGAATTGAAATTAGTCCAATGTGTGATAGAGAAACTGCATGCATTTACAGTACACAAGTAAGTTGTTTACTACTATGTATATGTTATATATTAAAGATAATTTTTATTTTTGATTACTAAACTGTAAAAGAGTTTATATTTTCATGTTATTGATATTCAGCTATTAATTTTATTAGGTTGTTGAAGTAAAAGATGCCAACTACAAGTTCAAATGTGAATATCATCATTGGAATACATAGGTACACTTATTTGATGAGACCAGGATAGAGAACATTAGATGACCGTTTTTTTTCTAGTATAGGGCTCTTAAGCAGTGCACATCCTCAACACTTGAAAATCGAAAACAAGACTCTCGGCTTCTTGTGCAAACTCTTAAACTATAGACCAGTTAGCTGACATTCGACGATGTTGATGTTTAACCTCAACCAATTTTTTTCATTATCACTGGTAAACTACAATTACTGCATCTACTACCTTAATATCTATCTAGTTAATTTTATCCTGTTGTACTGATGTGATGCTTATATCTGCCAAACCTCAAATTATTTCGATGAGTTGATATCCAGTTTATTGATCGAAGTATCTTGAGTTCAGTGGTTTTCTATAGAAAGCTAATTATATTGTGTTTCATACTGTCATGACTCCATAGTGTATTAGATTCCAGATAATTCCTAAGCATTCGTATATTAATCAAAGTCAAGACCATTATAAAATAAATCCCAACGGTGTATGAATTCAGTAGGCAACATGAAGCACGGACTACAGTTTATTATTTCATAGCACAGATCACACCAAGCGAATTCAAGCAGAAAATATAATACGCACGATCGAGCAAGTACAGAGGCAAATTAAGAGACGAATCAGTAAGATTCATGCACATGAATATGTGCAGGAAGCGATGCGAATTGTTGTTGGCAAAATGAAAAATGAAGCGAAGCGGACAAGGCTAGTCAGTTAACTTGATTTGACCAAGCGTGACAAACAAAAATAGGCTACAGACATGTGATGAGTTGGGTAAGCAATACAAAAATACGCCCAAATGAAAACAGTCAAGGTTAGTAAGCAAATTATTGACAAGGTCAAAATGTGGCTCAAGAAGAATGAATAGATCAGTCTGTCCGGAAGCTAGAATATCCCATGTGCATTTGACATGGTACAAGATACTACAATTTATGATCCTGAGAGCAAAACACAATCTGTAAAGGACTTTTTTAAGTTAGATACCGAAGTGATGGGAATGATTTGCAGCTCAGGTGGATAGATGCTTTTGATTATGCTGAGTTCACTAAGCTAGATAACTTAACTGTGGAGCCCAAATTGTCATCTTGCACAACATAAAGTAGGCGTTGAAGATGTTATCCAGAATGACTAGCGAACACATCATACGGTAATTTCTTTTGCAAATAAGTAAATTGGTCAGAAAATAAAAATTATATATGACCATTCTGTATAAAGATACTGATATATGCATCATAGACGAAGGAAACAATCACTTTAGGACAATGGGCGACCACCTTCCATCGTCGTCGGTGGGTAACTGCTTCACATCCATTGGTCACGGTTTCGCACTAAAACTCTGGAAATTTCAACTCGAATATAGTCATTAGTGGATACATGATTATGTTCAGTAAGGAATTATAGAGAATGTTGAATTTCATAGAGTTCATGAACCAGTATTTTAAGCTTTTTACATCTTAATTTCTCACATAAATTTATAGACCTATCAGTAAGTGGTTGAAGTCACTTAAAGCGATTTTGATAAGGTTCAAAGATCGTCCATAAATTATGATTGTCACCATTAACAATGAAATGAGTTTGATTGTAAACAACTTTTTGCTAGTGGATGATAATCAGAAATGACTTGGCTTATTGTAGTGCGTAATATCGAGTTTAGTTTTGGATCACTTACCTGAGATTTAAAAAAAGGATTTTCTGTTGGGGAGATACAAAAAACTCTTCGAAAAAAGCTAAGAAACACTCTGTAAACACTGAGAAGCATCTTATTCAATTGGCGTTTACTAGGAGTTTTCCAGAAACACTTAGAAGTTGGAAAGTCACATTCCCAGTCTCTAATTGGATGATTACTACACAACTATTATGTTTAGAAGCATTCTAGAATTTTCGGGAAAACTGATAAGTCTTGCTAATTGAACGCTATATTCGGATCCTAATCTCTTCTAGTAACCTCCAGGCTAGATCTACACAGCGACTTGAACACGAGAGAAAAGGAGCGAAATATGTAAGAAACACTTTACTCCAAAGGTTCGTTTATATACAGAAAATCTAGGGTATTTTAATATATATTAGATGTCCTTGGGTTTCCCGAAATTTCTGGAATTCTGCTAAACATTGTAGCAGTATAAGTAATCATCCAATCAGAAACTCGAAATGTGACTTTCTAACTTCTAGATGTTTCTGTCAAATGGAAAAGTTAGTTCATGCAACATTGATCAAAATACACTCAAGTCTTCCACACCAAAAAAATCATAAACACTAACTTATAAACGCTAATGAAAATCAACTTCTACAACTCAACATGTTGAATATAATCCTTCTGAATTATCTTAATTTTGATCATTTATGTATAATATATATTTAAACTTATCCCACATGGCACATCAGTCAACCATAAAATATGCAAAACTAGGTAAACATTTACATCAGTTCAAGTTCCTACATTATATCAATATATTGAAGTGAAATTATCAAGATAAATGACAGACCATTGGTAGAAGTTAGCAGCAATATTCATTATACTAGAAGACATCAGATATATACAGTATGATTCGTAGAATTTTAAAAAAAATCTATAAGATAATATTAAAACTGAAGATCTATGGTGATATTAAGAATGAATCTATCCACAGAATTGTAATAGATTTCTATAATGATGAGAATCTTGAACGTGTAAGCCTATACACACTAATATCGTAGCGAACAAAACACAACAGTGGGGACAATCCAATGTATTTAACAACAAATTACAGAGCATTTCAATAAAATCTGAGAACCATATATTAAATCGTTAATTTGCAAATTGTTCATCAATTGTCTCAAATAACTCAGAATCCCTTTGTTCTTGCATTTTCATACAAATTGCATTCATTCTTCATTCTTTGTTGTTCGATCTTCTCGTCTCTGTGCTGCCAGACATTCTGTTCAGTACACACATCATATACTACTTATGTCTACATAAGTAGCACACACCACAATATGATCTAATTCAATAGTCACTGACCTCATCTTCTAACTGATTACTGCACCAACATCGAAGGTAGGACGTAACTATACATATAATACATAACTTAACCAACATAATCAATTAAAACCACATATCTATCTATCAAAGATTTTCTATTGTTACATAGGCTATGTGAAATTTGATGGTGGAGTGAACCTGCAATTCACTCATGTGTATTATACACAATATTCTTTAATCATTATATATATATATATATATATATATATATATATATATACCTATATATTAAAGAGGAAGAATATATTTGTAAAATCTGAGGCGAATGAATTTTGAAGTAAATCCAACGTTTCGCCTAGCAATCTGGTTCAAAATTGTTTTCAAAGAAATAATATAATCAAATATTAAAATGATCGAATATAAATAGATACATAGTTCACTAGTTTACTGTTTACTATACTAAATAAGTTATTCAATCCATGTTAATAATGTTTCAAGTAGATACTAACATTAGAAATACATTCATCATCTCGATTGTCTCATATCAATTTGGCACCCAAGTATATATATACATATATATGTTAATGAGCTTTATTTTTTCATTCGATATCTCTATTTCAGATTGGTTTTATTGATTATATTGTTTATCCATTATGGGAGACAATGGCTGAACTTTTACATCCAGGTGTACAAGTTTTAATGGATAATATAGCAAATAATAGAAATTGGTATGTGAATGCAAAAGAGGAAGAAGAAAAAAGAAGCAAATAAAACAAACAATCATATTGATCAATAATCAGTAATCATCATCATCATCATCATCATTATCATCATAATAATAATAAAGTATTACCATTATATTTTGTAATAAAAAAAGATTTTTCATTAATTTTTACAAACAAAAAGATCCATTGAATAAATAGTTTTTCTTAATATACATAGATTCTTCTTTGATATAGAGATATATATTGATTATTGAACAGACAAACCCATCGTATACTCCTATATACTTCATCTATCTTCTTTTTATATATATATAATATACAAATCTATTTATAATAAGACAATAATATTTTGTGCCAAATGTAAAAACATTAATTTGAAATAAAAATAAAGGATCATTCAGATTATTATTGATTGGGGTTTTTTTCTGGTTTTTTATTTCCAGAATAAATAATGCATAAATTTGTAAGATTTATTTTATTGATATAAAGTACTTCTGTATTGAACAAGAACACCAGTCGAAGGGGGGGCAGGAAACGATCAAATATATTTGAGCACGAAATTACAGAACTTGTTAATAAAATCTAACCAATCATATAGTAAATGCTTCATTTGCAAAATGTCTATCAATTGTCTCAAAATGACTCAGACTTCATTGTCCTTGCATTCTCATACAAATTGTATTCTGTCTTCATGCTTTACTGTTCGATGTTCTTGTCTCTCTACTGTCAGACATTCTACTCACGAATAACGTCATATACTACTTATTTCGAGATAAGTAGCACACAGCACACTTCTTTTGATACAGTCAAGTAAGAAGTTATGAATGTTTCTTGTGTATGTATGTATGTATGTTAGGATCATTGATTATTGAGTAGTGTGTTGTGTATAAGGGAAATCTGTTAAATTAGTTGGTGAGATTATGAATACTTATTAATTGAAATCATTAGGATAGTTAACCATAAATGAAGTTGATTGATGTAGAATTAGGTTAAAAGGAAGCAATCAAATGAAAATGTGAAATAATACCATGAAGTTGATAACTTTTGGATTTAACAATGTCTGTAAATGCAAATTAGGTGTCAATGAGATTATTGTGTGTTTTAGTCGGAAAGCGTCGAGTATCATAAATCAGGATTGACCGTAACGACAAAGATATATTAGTCTTTTGTTTTTTTTATAGATCTTGAATTTTAAAATGATCATTTACTTTTTACTTAGGGAATTCGTTCATTCTGCTTTAATCCTATTTTCAATGCAAAGTGCTTTTTTTCTCCCAAAATAATTATCCCTTTATAATTCATTTATCTTTGCAGTGGTGTAGTAACTTAGATGGATACGCACACATATACCAGAGTGCTATGACTTGTGACCACTAACTAATAACACATGAAAAAACCACCAATTACAATAGCGACTGATATACATACACAACCACAACTGGTAACTTTCAGTCAACTAACAAGTTATAATTGGTCCACAATTCTCCACTCAGTAACCAGAATCAATGAACGAATATTATATTCCAAGAGGATGTAGTTTATACACAAGCATACTAGATCATATCATACCATAAAATGAAAAATAACAATTATACATGATCAAGATTAAAGTGGCTGTGAGTAGGGACACTGTGGATAATAAACTGTTAACTGATGAAGAACAGCAGATCATACAACAGTAGCTAATGGGTTAATCGGGAAATGGTGATAACAGGAATGTATATATAATCTAGTTACCTAGTAATTATAAAATTAGAATATATATATTAATAATCATCCAGAAATTGTTCCTGAGAGTTACCATACCCTTACTCTTTGTTTGGATATAGCACAGAGGATACGTTCTTCATCCTAGAGGTTCTGCAAATAAACCATGTAGATCATTCAGTGTGTATGAGGACGAAATCAAAACTGCTGTTATTGGACATTGGATCACATTATCGAAGATTGTGTATTTCTTTGAAGAAGTACATCACAAGTATGGTGATGAGGTGCTTATTATTTCATTCCAAGTAACAAACAGATGACAATTTGTGCATAAACCAATCTGAATTAAGACGAGTATTGGATTTTGGTACAAGATTCATTCATCCATATAGTTAAATAGCATTTCAGCATTAGAGTTGATGCCACTTTGCAATGAAAAACTCCAAATTTCGATTATGATTTCATACATTCATTGATAACCATCTTCACATTCAAGTGGGTTGGTGAATTTCGTAAAGGTTATGTTGACGTCCTTCAATGGTCTTGCAGGGAATGAAGACAAATGCTCAGTTTTGCTAAATATTGTGAATAACTCCTTTTCATCTATTTCAACACTGGTTTCACTGTGAACATTATTCTATTCGTGGACTAAAGAAAAACCCAACTATCTAATCTATTATCTATCAGCTATTCATTGTGAATCGTATACTCAGGTGTAATATGATGCAGCCTATATTTAGTATGTTGGAGTCGAAGTATTGTTGTATTACAATTTGAAAACGTGAAAATAAAATTACATTCTCTCATTATAATTAATTTTTACATCTTCAGTACCATTTTAATTGGGAAATCATTAAAGTCTATTTATAACTGCTATTCATCATATTTGATCACGTTTTTCTGTCAATTTATTCAAGCTAGCAAGCACCATGTGCGAAACCTTAGTCAGATATGAATGATAAGTTCTCGAAAGAAAAGAAAAACGAACTATAAGCATATGTTCTTCTATTTCTTGTCTATATTAGAACACTAGTGATCATTATTTTATTGATAGAGTTTTATTCATTAATCTAGGACAGCGTAAATCAATTTAAATCATCCCACTGAACTAAAAAAAAATGTTCTCCACAAACTCAACATTATTTGAGTGTAACATGCTTTTGATGTTGTTTGAAAATGAGGAGAATTTTATGAAAAAGCTATTCTTCAAGGAATATCTTCGGGAGTACATTTTACAAATAAGTGTCAAACAATCATGATGTTGAAATCTCCACCAGTTCAGATAGAGTACAGAATGTAACTCCACCAAAATCAGTCCACTGAACGACAAAACTACTCCCCTGTCAGTCAACACTACTGCTTATAAAAAGAGAATTTTTTTCAAAAAAAACAACAAAAGTATGAACGTATTTGATTGATTTATTGACTCAGTGAAATGATCTCAGGAGATAAAATGAATGATACAAATGTATATATGTTAAACTCTATAGTTAATAATAATGAAAATAATAGTAATAATAATACTGTTGGTCTTAAATGCAACAAAAGATAAATGAAAAGAATACTTTAAATGATCCAGACACCGGAGAATAGTGAAATTGATTGAATGTATTAAACGCACCGAGATTAATCAATACACGTACACAGATCATGAGCAAAATGATTGATATAAGAAATAGAATAATTCAGATGACAATTTCAGCTATTCATTTGTAATGAAATTTCACTCGGACTAAATATTTTTGTTTCACTTGTGATACATGGTATACAATGTATTCATTATAACACAAAGTGGTATTTTCTACATTTGAATCAATCGGTTTACCAATCGGATAAACAACACCATCTTTATTAGTGTGGAATGTTGACGGATCTGGTGTAACCGACCCAATGCCTAGATACATAAGAATGAAAAGGACAATAGGTAAAAGAAAGTCGCGATTGGTTATATATATATATATATATATATATATATATATATATATATATATATATATAGAGAGAGAGAGAGAGAGAGAGAGAGAGAACAGACACCCACTTCATAATTATATAATATGAAATGGGTATTTTAATATAACTGCTTCACTAGAGATTTTGTACACTATTGATAAGGGCAACTAGTAGCATACAACAACATTTCAACACTTGGCCGCCAACACAGAAAGAAAAGATAAAACTTGATATTCGAACTAGAACAAAGTGAAATAATACAACTCGGTATACATATATATGGTAATGAAAACGTAGCCTTTAAATATACAGGAATTTAGCGAACTAAAAGGGTAGTAGGAATCAATCAGAAATAGCTATGTAGGATTATCATTATCAGAAAGATTTAAACTTTATCGGCTGATTTATACTCGAAGATTCACACTGTATGTGAAGTCCTTGTATTTGTGTTGGAAAGAAAACAACCAGTGTTTGGCCTACAATCTGTCTAGTTCTAAACTACTAGTCGTACCAATATATCTGTCTCACATGCCCAGTCTATCATATATATATATATATATATATATATATATATATACCGAAAAGCTGTTTCCTAACCACTTGTAAGTAGCCTTGCATATCATGAGCTATATTTCTAGTACAAATTTCTATCCTTACACTTGATTGGTTCATTGTAATCTGATCGGTGTCTTATTGGTTGATGATACATATACTAACTGCCCAATCACATTACGATGTGAACTGGTGATTTCTGTACTTAAGTGTCAATGGTTGACTGATTGTCTTGTAAATGAGTTTAACACTTTGAATGTGGAATTGTTTATTGATTGTAAAACCGTTAATTATTAGTACATAGTCATATTCTAAATATTCAAAGAACTCAAAAGAGTTTATTCGGTTTGATTCGACCTTGGTAGTGTTATTTTGGTAAATGAATCAGCAATCTCATGAAGGTAGATTATGAATATTATCAGTTACTTATTACTACTTGCTTACGGTTGTTACCCATTATAGACTATAAGCTACTGAACAGGATTCTCCATCAAATTCTTTCATCGGCGATCTTTTCCAGTTGTTGTTAAGTACTATTTATCTTTATCATGCATGCTCCGGATTCTCGATTCAGTGTGTTCTTTGGTCTTCCTCTTTTCCGTTACCTTTCAGGATTCCAAGTTAGTTCTTGCCTCTTGATGCATTTTGATGATTCCTTTAATATGTGTCCTATCCGTTTCCAACGTCTTTTACTAGTTTCCTCTTCAGGTACAACATGGTATGTTCACTCCAATACTAGGTTGTTGCTGACGGAATCCGACTAACTGACCTTGAGTATCTTAAGTAAACAATTGTTTATAAATACTTGTACTTTGCTGACCATCGTTGTAGTAGTTCCCCACGTTTCAGCTCTGTACTGTAGAACTGTCTTGATGTTCGTGTTGAAGATTCTGACTTTG